CAAAGGTAAATTTGCGCACGACCGTTTCGAACGAAAGCTGGAGGACGAATCAGCCGGCCGTTAGTCGATCGAAGCGACCGAATACATCTTCGACCGTTAACGTGGTCCAAAACAAGGCGAAGCATCGGTGCCTCTTTTGTCTTTTGATTAAACATAAACACCGTGTATACTGGTGACGATCACGTGTTCGTTTAAGCCAAGCGTTTCGTTTCGAGAGCGTTCGCGATGATCTGCGAAATGAGCGAATTGTGGCGATGCTTCCGACGAACGTTTCGTACGGATTGCGGGACAATAAGTTCGATGCCGGAACAAAGACGATGCGTCACATATCGTATTAATAAATAAATAATAAATATTGCAGAAAATACAATATTAACGTTATTGAAAATTTTCACTAAAAATAAAATAAAATGCACTGAGGAAATAATACAGAAAAACTTTTTAATGGTAAAGACAATTTGTTAAACAGATGGCATTACCTTTAAAAAATTTTTTAAATTACATAATAAATTCAACGAAAAATATAGGAATTATTTTTGTAATAAAATAAAGACTTATAGCGTTGTTTATTGTACACCGAACATCTATAAAAGTTCTTTCACAACATTTTTCTATACGTACAAAAGCTGAAATTAGCGCACCGAAATCTGATATAAGCGAGAAAAAATATAGAAAATTTGTATTGCACTAAAACTAATAACAACTATAAGTTATAGATATTATTATTCACGTTACATTGAATCGATTCGGATTGATACGCGCGCTATTAAGATTGATCTTGCGATAAACATTCCATTTCAAGCGATTATTTTAAATATTAGACAATCCTAAGCTTATTTCGAGTTATTAATATTTAATTATCAATATTAATATTTCGAGTTCGGTAATCGGTTTAAAATTTTATTTTTCATCTATTCAGAAGAGAGAAAGGATTGACTAGTATCGACTAGTTTAGTTTTTAAGATGCAACATATATATAGACATAGACTATTTTTTAGACTATTCTGCCACAAAATGCGATAAGCGCAATAGAATCTCGCTTCACGATTTGTTTTGGATTCAAAATATCGCCAACAAATATCTACAGTTAACACTCATCAATTAGTATCGCTTTCTATATTATTTTAGCGTTTAACAAAACAGGCATTAACAACATTCTTAGGAACCTAAAAATAGTATATTTTTATATATTATTATTTGATATTTATCTCGTAATAATTTTTTTATTACGACCATTTTATTATTTCTACAAAAAAGAAGTTAACTAAAAATAACGTCTAATAATAATGTTTCTAAATTAGTATATAGCTGTATTTTAGTAATAGAAAATACTGTAAATAAATACAGAAGTAAGAAACTCAAAAACTCCGAGTAACTAGCCTGAGATAACGCATTCAAATATAATTTGTAATTCATTGTCGTTTATAGTTGCACATTTCCTAACTTTTTGGAAAAAAAAATAAAAATATCTCACTATTTTTACATCGATCGTTTCTATCTATTAATTATTCACGTGTGAGAGAGAATTAACATATATCAATTTTATATCTCTGCTGTATTATGAACTCGAGGCTGTTCAACGGTTCGAAAATTTTTGCAATTTTGCCGTGGTTGCTTTCTCACGAGCCTCTGTTGTTTTGCCTGTCAAGCGGACATCTCCTCGTTCGTCGACCAGCTCGTGATGTCGAACATGTGAACGTTGTAATGCCTCAGCAGACTGTGCTTGTGCTTGAACTTGGCACGGCACGTCTTACATTCGAACTTGGCCTCCTTACCGCACTCGAGCCTTTTGTGACGTTGCAGGGAGATCATTCTGCGGTATTGCCTGTTGCAGGTGTCACACGGGTACACTTGGACGATGTTGCTTTGCTGGTAGATCGCTGAAAGCATAAACATTCATTGGTTAGATCGGTGTCGGTTAGAACGCTGATTGCCACTCGGGAAAAGATAGTCACGCGCGGAGACATCCTGTTGCTCGCAAATTCGTAAATATGAATAAACTAGAAAAATAAGCAAAGAAATTACCATGGAACGAAGTTTACTTGGTGCTTAACCCTTTTACGACAACAAGACGACATATACCATTTGACATTTATTTGTTTTCTATATTTTTTTATGTTGAGTAACGTGAAATATCATTTTGATGCGTATTTGTTGTAAGAAAATATTTTATTTAGCGTAAGACAATCAATACAATAACAAGCAATTCTTCGCAAAGAGAGATATGTTATATTAAAAAGTTATTTCTGACAGTTGATTTATAAATATACTTTTTATAAATTCTAAAAAATTTTCATTGAAGATCTGAAATAATTTTTTTATCAATTTCTGACGTACTTAACTTCATTTCTAATTGTATAATAAAGTTATCAATGATCAAAAAGACTGACTAACAAGTAATACATAAAATTGTTATTGCTAATAAAGAGTGAAAGAGGTGAGTTTCGGGTGAAAAAAATAAACAACTCGATTTTAAAAAATAACCCGGAATAAAGAATATTTCTTTATTAATAATATTAATAATAATAGTTATAATATTAATTAATATAAAAGATACCATTATGACAGAGATAGACATTCTTCCGCTTAAAACCTTCCAAATAAAGAAAAGAGAAAAAGAAAGATAGAATTAAAAATATGAAATTAAATATTAGAAATACCGAGGCGCAACGAAAGGGGGAAAGCGTTGCGATATTGGTTCAAGTCGCCCCCTCGCCTCGCCCCCTTTTTGCTCGATTAAAACCCTAAACGCTTAAAACCCTAAGCGAGGACTAAAAAGAGAGACGGAAAAATTGGCGAGAAAAACATATAAAACGTGTAACTTAAATATTAAGTGATATTAAGGGTTCGGTAACAAGAGTCTCGGAATAACGAGGCCGATCTCGGACGATCGACTACGCGGTGGCGGACAAAACTCCGCCGAATCGTATCGGCATCCATGATGAGGATCATGGTTAAGAGCTATGGGTAGAGATGTGCAACGAGTATACCCCCGCATCATCTCGCAGGCAGGCAGGCAGGTAGAGACGCGAGCGCGTTTCGCAAATACTGATATCAAAAATACTGACGTACGTCCCGTGGCCGGACGCGCGTCGACTCTCGACGTTACTTTCGTTCTTTTTCTTGGCATCTCTCTTTCTTTCAACGTATCTGTTTACATGCACCCAAAGTTGCCATTTCTCTCAATATCTACGGATTCTCCGATCAATCCGAGAGAAATCCCCACCCGACGAAAACTTGTTTGAACAACATCCTTTCACAATTTTGTCGGTGAAGCAATTGTGTCTTGAATCTCTCGACATCCTCCAGAATAAAGTAGAGTTTATTTTAAATTATTCTAAAATGAAGCATTCGATTTTGCCAGATCTAAAAATTGGATCACGAAAAAAGAACAGATCAAAATTCTTTTAATGACTCGCAGTTAAAAATTAACAAATATTTAAATACTACTGAAACTTTCACTTTGAGACGTATCGAAGAGCCCGCAGATGAAAGAAATTGCAATAATTTTTAGTAAACATCCTATATACATATTTCTATTATACATATATATATATATATGTATGTATATGTATAAGTGTATAAACGTGTATAAAAAAATGGAAAAGAGACATTTATATAAATCTATGAGTATGGTCCGCGCGGCGCGACAAGCAGATCGATCCCATCGATCCGTACTGGAAGGTTGTCTGAATTAAATACTATATTAAATAATGCGGAAGGAGTAAAGGTGAAATGTAAATATCAGAAATCATCGCTGCATAAAGAGAATATATATATTAAATAAGAGGCACACACGGACAACAATCCCTAGGATCGTGAGATGAACCCGTTCGCGCGATCGACCTCTTTGCAGGCTGCGCTCGTAAATTCGCATAAACGTACAAGTGATCTTTAACATTATTATAATGCGTTAATCATATTTTCCGATTTCGAAGTCGATTGCGTTACTAATCTTCCTTTACGCTGTCTACAGCCGGGCGAAACGAACGAGCGCGAACAAACGCGAATAAACAAATTGCTTCAATCGCAAATATTTTGGCCTGCCTTCGTTGAAGCTAGTTATTCATTCGTGCTTGTTCGCGCTCGTTTGCTTAGCTTGGACACGGCTTGAGATACGCGCGAAGCAATTGCGAAATGCGGATCTTTGTACTTTATCGGATACGTAACGTAAATCTTTCTGTCGCGTTTGCTGAATTACGCTGTACATTATATAAATATATTATGTAGTGATGTTTTGGTAAAATTGAATCTTTCTAATCCATCGCCCCAACACGCCATCCTATTAAAAATGTTAACAATGGTCAACGCGAATCAACCGTAGTATCTCTCTGCTATGTAAGATACATGTGCGAATAATTCATTCTCACGTTCGTACTCGCGGTCACGGGCGAATCATCTGGAATAACAGATAATTATTGTCTAGCATAAGCGCCTAAATGCTCTCAGGTAATCTTCTGAAGATTGTTTCGCAAACACCACCAGTAACGAATGCGCGAGTTCGGTTTGCATCTCCATTTGTCGAATTCTCGTCGAAGGCACTTTGGAAATCCTCTGTTTATCTTTCGAATAAAATATGTCTATAAAATTATAGATGACGGATGACAGTCATATTATGAGAAACAAACTGAAAATCTTGAACCAGTTTTCTTCTTCGGTGCTTAACGAAAAAGAGGCCTAGCCCGTGAGCTACATGTCTCGTAGCATACAAAAATACTGACGAGACACGCTATATTTGATCGATAGATTCTTAAAAATCTAAGTTTCACCGACATTATCGGATCGTTTCCAGTTATGTGTACCTTTAATATTGTGTCAATTTTTCTTCGCGATTATATTTCTTCCAATCTCATCGTATTCCACGCATTTCACGCGGAATGTGTCAAATAATCATGACTGTCGAAATTTATAGAAAAGAACCGCTTCCAACTTATAGAAATATTCTTTGTATTTTCTTTTGTATATATATATATAAAAGAAAATACAAAGAATATTGTACCTATATTTCGAAATATAATTTGCTACTGTTGTTGGAATGTACTCGCGATTTTTGAGAAACAAATCTCGGAATGCTTTAGTCGTGAGATTTCTTTGGTGGCATACAGTGCGATAAAATAATAATAAAAATATTCTGACTTGCTTCTTAAGATTTGCGTAAAGAAATATGCAATGTACAATATAATGTTATGCACCTTTTTTTTTTAAGATACAAATTTTGTTTGAAACGTTTTCTAAGAAAATACGTCATTTACAAGATATTCGAGCTATGCAATTAAAATGCGACATCCTGTGTATCACGACGATGATCAAATGTACTATACACCAATTATCTACGTCTAACTGATTTAAAGAAAGCAAACAACGAAAATGGCTTTTCAATATCAGTATAATATAACAAACAAATATCTACGAGTATGCTCTTGTTACACATTTTCGTTCACGAATTTTCAAAAGAAATTTGTAACAGTAATAATATGATTTGATCGGTTTCGTGAGTCACTGTAGTATATGATATCCTTGCGCGAATCTTAATAAATTAGATGAGAATATTAATACTATCATTTATTTCCTCGCACTATAAGTCTTGTGCAAAACAACTGCGGCGATATTATAGCGATAGATTCTAGATGACAAATTATTTACGCCGTGCACAGTAAAAATGCGATCACGTGAGCTTACAAATTAAAGCAGCAGAGTTACGCGAGCTATTAACTACAATTTATCACCAATCCCCAGCAAGTAAAATTAAACCAATAATGTTCTTCTAAGTTCCTTAAGTAACCCAATATCTTACAAATAAATTGAAACGCTTTGGCCCGTAATCTCGCCACGCATTTCTGAGTACGACTGTCCATTTCTCATCTTACATGGAAGTTACAAAACGTACAAAAAATTCAAGATCGGACGGCCACGTTTCGTGTTAATCGCGGCGTTAAATAAAAATGAGATTACGGGTATTTGTCAAAAGTACCATGTAAATTTCGAATCCGCGTAAAAGCGAGGTAAACGAAAAATCGCTGACTTCTCTGATGGTTTGAGGTGCGGTAAAAAAAAAATGCTTTAAAAAAAGTATCTATTTAATATTTATCTGAAAAATATTTGTTCGAGTTTTGCAAAATTTTCGGAGACGTTTTCACGAGGCTCGTTAAATGATTTGCGCAAATATTCGCGCAAATATTAGAAAATTAATATGTGTCTGTCTCAAATCTCTCATTTTATAGTAGTAGCTTTAAACACTAGCAGATCTATAAGACGAGTCAAAATTTCATAATATATGTCATCAAGTTCTGTTATCAGTAAAATACAAAAAAAAATGAACATTTTTACATTGGATCGGATTTAATATATACGCAGCTCTTTAACTTTAACCCTCTGTACGTTAGTAATATCACGCGGATAAGAGTTCATTTGTCAAATGTTAGAGTGAAAATAGAAAGAAAGAAAAAAAATACCATTTAAAAATCATTAATCAAACTATTTCAATTCAAAATAAGGAAGGTATATTCCAGTCATAAAAGATAACTCGAATATTCCGAATGTGCGGTACATATTTTATCGCACAGAATGATTGATTTATTTCTCTTTGAAACGTACCATTAAGATGTTATGTCGTTCTCTTAAAATCACGTTAGAAGCCCAAGTGAGTATTTAAGTTAAGTACACAATTACCTACAGAATTAATAATAGTTAGAAGTTCAATTTCGCGAATCAAATCGCGCTGTTCAAGTCCAAGTTAGGATCATCAATCGAATATCTCGCGCAAGCCCATCCAGTTCAATGATCTTTAAATCGCGAGTTGCCGTTTATCATAGAATCGGCTCGAAGAGGGTCAAAGAAAAAAGTCGCGAAAATTCGAGGGGCTCTCAAGAGCTCCCCCGAAGAGCTTGAACCTCGCATTTGTTCAATGCCGAGGTAGTTTCTCCATCTCCGCGGTAAAGATAATTAAGATGCTGAAGAGCCTTCGTCGTAGCCCATCTTTTGATGATGCCGCTTAAAGTGCACAGTCAGATTTCCACGTTGTCGCGCTTTGTACGGGCATTCCGGGCACTGGAAGGCCGGCGGCTTACCGCCGCACTCCACCGTCTCGTGGCGACGCATCGTGCTCTTCCAGCGGTAGCCCTTGCCGCAGAAACGGCAGCGGAACTTCCTCTGCTGCTCGTGCGGCACCCCGGCCATGAAGACGACGCTGAGGTCGTGCGGCCGCGGCAGCACCTCGAACGAATCCGGGAATACGACCTCGCGGGCAGACGCGGCGCGGCCGCCGCTGTTGTCGCCGCCGCTGCTATCGTCGTAGCTGTTGTCACCGCCGGCGACGTTGCTGTTGCTGGCACGTCTGTTCGCCATGGCGATGTTGGCCCGCGTCATCATCGTCGGTGCGGACGCACGGTAGCTGCCCTTCTTCGTCGACGGTTGTTGCCGCTTGAGGTCGGAATGCAGCAGGGACAGTAGCGTGCCCATGCCTGTAACAGGTACCCAGCGCCGGCGGGGGCGCGAAGGTGGTAAAGAGATTAAATTTTGAAAAATACAGTCAGCTTGCTGGCTCGCTCGCCCGCTCGGTATCTCGCGCGGTTACACGGCGGTATCGGGGGAAATGTGACTTCGTACGATGAATGAACGCTTCCGTGGACTTCCGCGTGCCGAGAGTTCGTCGTTATTATCGTCATTCGCTTCAGTCAAGATCATGCTTTTGACGACGTAGCAAAGTAATTCCGCTACTCTGTCTATTGTATTAAATAGACTCAATGTATATTTATACAGGCAAACGCGTTTTGTTCGTTTTTCTCCGACAGAGAATTTTTAAAAATTGCATCTAAAAATTAATTCTGAACTATTATCTTCTTTGTAAAGTAGTTTTGCCACGAGTCAAGCATGATTTGACTCGAAGAGCGTAAAAATGGCCATAGATAACGATTTCACTTGACGACAAAACGCACGGAAAGGATAAGGAGGGATAAAGGAAGAAGATAGGTGGGACAAGAGATGTTTCTCCACGAGATGTGTTTGTATGCGATTGGTAGAGATCAGTGAGATTAAACCCGTAACCAACCCAACACACAATGTATCAGCCAATAGCCCGAAGATAAGTGCGCCCAGGATCAAATTTTGCCAAGGATATGTGGCTGTGTGAAGAGGCGTGAGATAAACTGCGTGAGGCGGGAATGATGGATGAGAGAAGAGGCTCTCCAAAATCATTACATTTCAATTCATATATATATAAACGGTATTCTTTCTGAAACATATATTCACAACGGACAGGATGTTTGTCAAGTCAGTGGTATATTTCGTTCGAATTTACTTTCGTAAATTAGCGTAGCCCCTCCTCATGTTCCAGCCTTTCCACCTCGAGTGAGAAGACACCAACCCTCCAAACAAGATACCCAAAAACAAGATGCGACGACGTAGAATGATCCCGCGTTGAACCACCAAGTCAAGATCGAAAGAAGAAACGATTGGTTTTTTCATGTACACTCGAGGATTTATATAATACAATACGGTATATAATGTTGATACACGTATACATGCATACGTGTATTTATAAGAAAGGTATATATCGGCAACTATACATATATTATTATATACGTATTATACATAAATTTTGGAGTACCCGTGAAAGAAGACAAATTGACGAAAATACAATCTATTTATTTTACTTGTTTGCTTCGATCGAACAAACGCAACTGAACTCGATCTGTCGATACTCGACAGACGAACATTAGAAAAAAAAAAAAACTAAAGAATCATCTTTCTTTATCTTTGTGTCTCTTTCTAACTTTCTAACTCGGTCAAAACTCGTGTACGAGGAGCATATGCTTGGGTAGGCTTCTCTTGGTTAACAGTCTTTCTTCCAGGCAGATCGGGCCCATTCATCGACCATTTCTCCGTATTCAAAACAGTTGTATTGCACGTGGCGATTCAGCGAGCTCTTATTCTTGTAACTGCGTTCGCAGTACATGCAAGGAAAAGGCTTCTTGAGAACGACGGCGTGTCCGGCAGCCGGACCTGAAACAAAGTGCCACAGACGATATCTTAGTGCTTGTTCTGATAACTTGCGAACGATGATCGTAGGGGATGTATAGTAGGCTTCAGTTAGCGGAGTTTCCGGTGAAACGGTTGACCCAAGCCCTGCTGAACCAAAAGATTTAGACTAAATTGTAGGAGAGGAGATCCACCGCGGGAATAGTTACGTTCTAATAATTTGTCAAACGCTAAGATCCGAGCTCGGCGTGTAATCTGTGAAAAATTATCGTGTTAATGATAACGTCTCATCAGGGAGCGACAATGATAGCGTACAGGATATGTGGATTCGGAAAAACCGTGTTTTTCTTTTTTTTTTCACTTTGTGTATTCACGGTTATCTATCTTGCTGAAAAAAAGACTTTTCGATGAAGGAGGATTAAAGTTTGATTTCGATGCTGTCAAACATGTTAAAAACGCTAAAACATTAATATATGTACTTTATATACTTATCATCCTAATAGGCATGTTTAATACACATTAATCACGCCCATTAAGATAAAGTCACTTAAATAAATGTGCAGATACGGGAATATTATACATATGTTTTATATGTATAACATTTTGGGATTAGGATAATTGCGTGGTTTTTCCCCAGAAAAACGCTTATATTTTGGAGAAAACGGCATAATGAGATCATAATTTAAGTTATTTCTGCCTTTTTATGCGTTATTGTGCATACGAACGGTGTGGACGGAAAAAATTAAATAAATTAAATTCTATCACTGGCACACTCTCAAATTCAAGTCTTCGAACAAGATTAAATAATAAGTACAATATAAATTAACAATTCATAAAAATTAAAAGCGCTCCCAAAAATGCCCTTTTTATATGTACAGAATATATTCTATACATATAACCATACGTGTAAAAAATATAATTCTTAATATGTAGATACTTATTATCAAATTATTTCTTCGATTAATAAAATCTACGGGAAAAGGAACAATAATAAAAATGTCGTTTTATTAATAAACGATGACTTATCCATTTTATGTGCTCGCAGGCGATAATAAGGTACATCAACGGCATAATCGTGCCACAATAAAATAAGATTTATTTTTATAAAAAATATTCCAAATATAACAATAAAGACAATTCGTGCCATCGGAAGGTCTTACAATTAGTCAATTGAAATTGCAAACTCGGTCCATTCAATTCTTGGTATTGTACAACATCTTATACTGGATCTGCCGAATGAACTCGCCGTTGCCGGAAGTGAGAAGGATCGGCCAGCATTCCGGGCTCTCGCGCACGTGCCGGTGCAGCGATTTCTTCCACTTATACGTCTTCGAGCAGGCCAGACAGGTGTTGCAGTCTGAAAAAGAAAGCAACACGTAGGTTCGTCAGCGACTTCTCAATCAGGACACGCAAGAAACATCAATGTCTTTCGGGCAAACGTGAACAGGTCTCGGCTCGATTAATTATCATCGCACCGTGCCTCCCGTGTACATAACTTGATCTCTTTTGTTCGACCAATAGATTGATAATATATGTAGATTGTAGAGCTAGTGACACAAAGAAGAAATAATCAGTTTTTGAATGTTCAAACTACAGTAAATAAACACTGCGGGATTATGCAAGTTTAATTAGTGTCTTTAGAGCGGTCGTTCTACAAGGAAACAAACTAATCCACTTTTTAAAAGTTAAAAGCACATTAGTAGATTATATTGAACGTGGTTAACGTTAACAGCTTAAACAATAGAAATGATATAATAAATCTAGGTGATCAATGACATACTAGCTTTATCGTGTTACATTATGCATGCATAATCCCGCTTTTAATACCGTAACAATAATATAATAGAAAAACTTGTTCTTAGATTTGCAACTCTTTAATTTGGCAATTAATACAACAAGTACGTTTGGTATTTCTCTATAATGAAACATAGTAATATAAAAAAGGCATTATTTCTCGCAAAAATAACAGTTATAGCTTTCGATTCGTTTATCAAGACAGAGATCTCATCAAAAATAGAGAGAGTAATTGTCCGTATTCTCTTTTTACAAACCATTTGGCACTTCAGAGTTAAACGTGTGAAACACAATTAAATTTCTCGAAGCTTAAGAGTAATGGTGCGTATCGGTTTTATACACATCAGAGTCTACATATTTATTTACAAAGGCATTCGTAATATCATTGCAATCACGTAAAAATTCAACACTATTTTACAACCCGCGTCTTACGAAGATTATGCGGCTACCAAAGGGTGGACACAAAGTGCACGCGAGCGCTTGAAATGCGAATGTAACTTCGTAGAGCTGTAAGCGTTTTAATTTGTGTTACGCTGGGTAAAATTAGGTGTTCATAGAAAAATTGCTATCAATCTCATATATTTCGAATTCAGCTTTGGTCTCGTCCTCGTTGTGTCGTTCTCCGACTCTGTCACCACCACCCGCACCGTCCGCTTCCGGTGCTCTCAGCCCTGCTCAAAACCGTGCTTCGTTCGCATGTGCTTCAACAGGTTGCAATGTAACTTGGATCTCTTTGGGCAATATAGGCATTGATATTTCGGCGCTTTCCCGCATTCCTCCCTCATGTGTCTCGTCAACGAGCTGTAATACACGTACATGTTTCCGCATTTCCTGCAGGTGTGCAGGTTGGTCTGATTCCCAGGGAGGTAGCCTGCAAAGAAAAATTACATGTCCGGGTTATTCCAAATCGCTTAGATTGACTATTCATTTCGATGGTCGCTCATATTCGCCAGGATGTTATTTCTTCATGAACTTCATCTTTGCGGATTTACAAAAAAATAATCAATTGTATGTTTCCCCGATTATACTCTCGTTACGATTAACACTAAATGACATATCTGATAATTTATGAAATATCGCATAACAAATGAAGCTTAAGCATTTGATTTTTTATCGAGCATAACAACGTTTAACGTAGTGCAAAAATCAAAATTAAATTATGAACAGAAAATTTTTCAGACATTAATCATAAATACTACTCTGAGATGTTTATTTCAGATAATACCTATGTCAGAATTTTATTTATATTCGATTTTAATTTGACTCGGAATTATTTTGGAGAAGCATGGAAATTTCAAATAGTTTAAAGTCGAATATCAACGACCAATCCTCTCATTATTACCCAAGTATGTTAATGTTTATTTCGTAAAAACACACTAGGGGAGAAGAGCGCACACGGAAAGCCTCGATCTACGCACCTTCCATATTTTTACTTGTGTATTTTCTTCATATTCTTCTTGCAAATAGTCCAGCCGTTCCTATCGGCATAGACCGGGTTATGTAATTGTTAAAGACGAAGACAGAATAAGCACGAAACAAATGACAAAGCAAAATATAAACTTGCGATAAACATAATCGAACTCTCTCATGCACTCATTAGTATTCCCTTATTATTAATCTTGACATCACATAATTACTACATCTTTAAACATTTTTGTCACTGTAGACAGTTATTTGTTTGCCATTTAACAAATAGATCTCTCATAACTTTTATATGCAAAGAAGTTCTCGATGTTTTTTTAATAAAAATGCAAACAATGAATATGTATTTATTGAAAATTTTTGGATTTGTAAAAGTTCTTCTCAAATATCATTCGCTTTAATTCTCAATCTAGATGATATTGAAAACAAGTACAGAACAATTAAATTTTACGAAAAGTATTTTACAGAAAAAAAATTTTACAGTGTAGTGAAAATGACATGTGCACAATTGTGTTGATTGGATAAACAAATCACTCGCGGAATTTCATTAGTCTATAAAAATAAAAACGAGTGTTTACCAGAAAAAGTTACTCTCGATTAATCGATCAAAAAACTTAATTCAAAATAGAAAAAAAACATTGTCACAAAAATCTATTATAAATATAAATAATATATTAATATTCCATATTTCAGAAAAAATGTGTATTATAGTTTCTACAATCATACACCTTAGATAATCATTTAATAATATATAACGTTGCATATCTGTGTTAATAATAAACTCGTTTTACACAACATATGAAATTTCATAAATTTTTCGCGGCACAAAGCACTGAAGAATATCTCTCGAACCATTTTTTCTTAACATTACAATTGTGAAACGCAGCAAGTTTGAACACAAATGTTACTCTTAATCGTTCACAGCGTTGTACTGTAAACAAGTGTCACGTTTTGCCACTCGAACTTCAAAAGAGTTTCGCTCGTTCGTAGATAAGCGGTATTAACGTGAGAATCGATACGATCGCGAAGCGAGTAGAGAGAATTGTCTCTTCGGCAATCACTCGTCGAGTTAAATCTTAGCAACCGTGCTCCTTCTTCAGGTGATTCAATAGATTGAACTTCATTGGCATGATGTTGCGACAGTACGGACAGGTATACAAGATTCTGCCGCATTCCTCTCGCACGTGCCGGTTCAGGGCCATCCGCGACTTGTACGTTTTCTGGCATTCGCAGCACGTGTGGAGACCTGAAACGGAAGGAAGAAAGCCGTCTTGAATAACCGTCTCGACGCACGTCACGACAATCAACAATGCTCTCGCTCTCACAAAAGCATTTAGCATCGACATTAGCATTCTGCGTGCGCGGTACATATCCGATTTTTTTCTGTGCCGTAGCGGATAGCTCGCTAGACCTTGGGATCCTGTCGAATCCTTCGACCGATCTGAAACAGAGAGCGCATTCAATCATCTGTTAGTAGCACCCTGAAAAATTATACTTAGAGGAGGACAAGAGCGACGTCGGTCGATTCTGAAAGAAACAGCAACGATGAATAAAACTTTTACATTAATAGAAATAAAAAATACCTTTAATTAAAAGTAATCTTAAATTTCGAAGTAGAAAAAATGAGGTTTGTGCTGTTATTATTAATTAAAACTTCGATTCGAGGTTTCACTCGTCGAGGACGATTTGGGACGAAAAAAAAGATCGTAATAATCACTGGCTCGCTAA